TTCACTAAACCTGAAGAGTCCGTTAAATCTCTTGGCTTATCATGAGGCCACTGTAGTCCCCAAAACCTGACTGAGTAGTCTGGACCCTGGATTTTTTTGGGGTTCATTTCCCATCATTGATCCTTCATCAGGGACATCATCTGATCCGACACTGTTTTGGCTAGGTGTAGATTATGACATACATCAGTGTTCCCAGGAAGGGGGGCCTCTTTTGGGTCTCTAAGCACCATAATTGTGATAGTATGAGGGAGAGTTCAGGTGTCCTGAGGAAGGACAATAAAAGAATCTTGGATTCTTACACTTTGCCAGGTGAGATCAAAATGCTCCTGACTAGTTTCAGCAATAGAAATAGAGAGAAAAAACCTTGATGAGGTCAATAACTCCATACCATTCATATTGGGACTGAACTAACTGGTCATTCCATGATATCAATGAGGTCAGGAACAGTGATGGTGATGGGTATGAGACTTTGCCTCCCTCACAAAGGCAGCTGGTAGTGCAGTGGTTAGAGTACTGGTCCTGGATTCAGGAGGACTTAATTTTATATCTGGTCTTAGACAATAATTAGTTGTATGACCTTGGACAAGTCATTTAACCTGTTTGCTTCAGTTTCCTTAACTGTAAAATGAGGATAATAATAGCACCTACTGTACAGGGTTGTTGTGAGCATCAAATCAAATAATATCTATAAAGGTGCTCAGCATAGAGCCTGGCATATAATAGATGCTATATAAATGTTTATTCTCTTTCCTCATTCTTCTACCTCTATGCCACTATTCTAGTGCCATCTGCCTTCCTTATGTTTAACACAAGAATCTTGTGAAGGGAATTGCTTTGATGAAGTGTAATACAACTTCCTTCATTTCTGTCACTAAAGAAGAAATATTTACCTCCTTGACATGTTTCATGTTAATTACATGGGATTTTTCAGACAATGCCAGGGCTTTTCATTTGGCCCTAATCACATACCATATAGTCCTTACTGAAAAGGACTGGATGAATATCTTACTCCTTCCTTCCACGGTTCGCCTTCTGTAGCATCCTCTGAATGTTTTAAATGGGGCAGGAGTTTTAGAAGATGCCTTAGGCTTGGGTGGAGCTTTACCAACACTCATAATCTAGCCATCAGTTACTTTATTACCAGTTCAGTGTTTTAGGACCCAGACCCACAGCTCCCTCTGGGAGAAGGTATCATTGTCCTCTGCAATGGGATATCAGGTTCTGTGACTCCTTTTCCCATTCCCAGAGCACTTATTCTCACTGACCATAGTATTTTCCTAAGCCACTGCTTTTCCAACCTCTTGTACCTATTTTAGAAGTTAATCAGCCCACACCTGTATAGTTGTGTGGCATGAGTTAGTGTCCCTAAAGCTGACCATTTCTTGCCTTCTAATGGAGGAAATCACTCTACCCCTAACAGCAGTAATAAGACACATCTAGGGCTTTTTTTTTTTAAACTATTGGTAAAAGTTCACATCTCTTCAGTGTTTTCCTCATTATGACATTATGACATACATCAGTGTTCCCAGGAAGGGGGGCCTCTTTCGGGTCTCTATGCACCATAATGTGATAGTATGAGGGAGAGTTCAGGTGTCCTGAGGAAGGACAATAAAAGAATCTTGGATTCTTACACTTTGCCAGGCGAGATCAAAATGCTCCTGACTAGTTTCAGCAATAGAAATAGAGAGAAAAAACCTTGATGAGGTCAATAACTCCATACCATTCATATTGGGACTGAACTAACTGGTCATTCCGTGACATTAATGAGGTCAGGAACAGTGATGGTGATGGTGATTTCCTGCCTCTGATCTTAATAGGAGGCAGTGAAACTTTTAGGATCAATACTTCTTGATCTCCAGGCCTGTGGGTTCCTGGCTTTAACCTGTTGTTCTTCTCCGCCAACAGGAGAGTTTTTCACATGTACTGTTACCAGCTCCATTAACTGCTTCTCAGGTTTCCTTGTAAGATTCTTAAACGCCAAGAGTTTTGTCTCTACTTATTTAATGCTTTGTGTGAGTTTATTTTAGGTTTTCTTAGTCTAACTTCTGCAGGATGGTAAACAACCAGGGAATGCTGGACTTGCCACTTTCTTTACTGCCAACTCTCTCCCTGGCATCCTTTTCTAGCAGCGAGTGAAGTAACCACTTTACATGAGCCAGGGTAATTGCTCCCTGTGTCATTGAGAGGTCTACCAGTATACCATCAGAAGGACCCTTGCCACAGAGTACCAATTTGTGGTGTCCAGTCATCTGATCACCCTACCCTCTGGCTATCTTATCATTCCACCTCTGTGTTTGTAGCACCCTTATCCTAACTCAAACTTGATAGGACCATTCATTCAAACCTTCTTCCGGTTATTGAATATTCTAAACTTTAGGGGTAGGTCTGATTCTATAGATTCAGATTTGATGTAGTGACTGTATGAAGCACCATTTTCATGCAATAGTTATTGTGAGTCTTTGGAGTTGTCTTAGATCCTTGCATTGCTGAGAAGAGCCAAGTCTGTCAAAGTCAGTCATCCCATAATGTGACTGTTACTGTGTACAATGTTCTCCTGGTTCTGCTCACTTCACTCAGCATCAGTTCATGTAAGTTTTTTCCTGGTTTTTCTGAAGTCTGCCTGCTCAACATTTCTTATAGCACAATAGTATTCCATTACATTCATATACCACTACTTGTTTAGCCATTCCCCAATTGATGAGTATTCCATCAATTTCCACTTCTTTGCCAACACAGAAGGGGCTGCTATGAAATATTTTTGTACATGTGGGTTCTTTTCCTGTTTTTATGATCTCTTTGAGATACAAACCTATTGCTGGGTCTAAGGGTATGTACAATTTTGTAGCCCTTTGGGCATAGTTCGAAATTGCTCTCCAGAATGATTGAATTAGTTCGCAACTACACCAACAATGCATTAGTGTTCCAATTTTCTCACTTATTCTCCAATATTTATCATTTTTCTGTTTTGTCATGTTAGCGAGTCTGATAGGTATGATGTGATATCTCAGAGATGTTTTGATTTGCATTTCTCTAATCAGTAGTGATGTGTTCATATCCTTTGACCTTTTATCAATTGGGGAATGACTTATATTCTTTAAATTTGACTCAGTTCTCTATATATTTTAAAAACGAGGCCTTTATCAGAGAGACTTGCTGTAAAGATTATTTCCAAGCCTTCTGCTTCCCTTCTAATCTTAGTTGCATTGCCTTTGTGCAAAACCTTTTCAATTTAATGTAATCAAAATCTTCCATTTTGTATTTCATAATGTCCTCTTTTTCTTGTTTGGTCATAAATTCTTCTCTTCTCTATAGATCTGACAGGTAAACTGTTCCTTGTTCTCCTAGTTTGCTTATGGTATCAGCCTTTATATCTAAATTGTATAGCCATTTTGACTTTATTTTGGTACTTAGTATAAGATGTTGGTCCATGCGTAGTTTTGCCCTGCTATTTTTTAGTTTTCCCAGCAGTTTTTGTGAAATAGTGAATTCTTGTCTCAGAAGCTGGAGACTTTTGGGTTTATCAAACGTTACATTACTATAGTCATTGACCATTGTGTCTTGTGTTCCTAACCTATTCCACTTATCCACCCTTCTATGTCTTAATCAGTACCAAGTAGTTTTGATGACTGCTGCTTTATAATTCAATTTAAGATCTGTATGGCTAGGCTACCTTCCTTTGCATTTCTTTTCGTTAATTCCCTTGATATTCTAGGCTTTTTGTTCTTCCAGATAAGCTTTGTTATTTTTTTCTAGCTCTATAAAATAATTTTTTGGTATTTTGGTTTGGCACTGAATAAGTAAATTAACTTAGGTAGAATTGTTATTTTTATTATTTTAGCTTGGCTTATCCATGAGTAACTGATTTTTTCCAATTATTTAGATCTGACCTTATTTGTGTGAGAAGTATTTTGTAATTTGTTTATACAGTTTCTGGGTTTTTTTTGCCTGGTAGACTCCCAATTATTTATAATGTATACAGTAACTTTAAATGGAATTTCTCTTTCTATCTCTTGCTCTTGGACTTTGTTAGTAATATATTGAAATGTTGATTTATTTTATATCCTGCAACTTTGCTAAAGTTGTTTATTATTTCTAGTAGTTTTTTAGTTGATTCTGTAGTATTCTCTAGTATACCATCATATCATCTGCAAAGAGTAATAGCTTTGTTTCTTTATTGCCTATTCTAATACCTTCAGTTTCTTTTTCTTCTCTTTTTGCTTAAAGCTACCATTTCTAGTACAATATTGAATAACAGGGGTATTAATGGACATCCTTGTTTCAACCTCGACCTTATTAAAAATGCTTCTAGTTTATCCCTATTACATATATTTCTTTATGTGGTTTTAGATAAATGTTACTTATTATTTTAAGGCAGATTCCATTTATTCCTATGCTTGCTAGTGTTTTTAATAGGAATGGATGTTGTGTTTTGTCAAAAACTATTTCTGCATCTATTGAGATAATCATATGATTTCTGTTAAGTTTTCTTTTTGATATGGTCAGTTATGCTGATATTTTCCTAATATTGAACCAACCCTGCATTCCTGGTATAAATCCTATCTGGTCATAGTATATTATCTTCAAGATAAGTTGCTGTAATCTCTGCTGATATTTAAAATTTTTTTTTTTTGCATCTTATATTCGTTAGGGCAATTGGTCTATAATTTTCTTTCTCTGTTTTGGCTGTTTCCTTTTAGTATGAGCCATCATATTTGTATCAGAAAAAGAATTTGGTAGGACTCCTTCTTCACCTATTTTTCCAAATAGTTTATATAGTATTGCAATTAATAATTGAAGTAAATAAATTAATAATTTAAAAATGTGTGTTGGAATTTATATTATCAGTCTCCATTAACTATGTGTTTCATACTGTTTTTCATTCTGAACTTTCAAATATTTTTTGTTAAGACCATTTGTTACATATATCAGAAAGTAATCCTGTTTAACTTGTTTAAAGTTGTGCCTTATTTTTTCTAATTCTTAAATTTTATTTTTATTAGTATCTGGAGTCCACATTCCCCCACCTGTGTCTCCTGAGAGTCTTCTGGAGCAGTCTTTGTCTTCAGCTCATCTTGTCTCTTCTAAGCCCATCATTTCATCACAGGATAGTGCACTGGTTGTTCCACAAACCACCAACAATATTGTAAGTCAAGCAGTATATAAAGATCAGTTAAGGATCTTGGTTTTTAATAGAAATCTGTGTTACTACCTTAAAACCATTTGTGTGTGTGTATTGTATTATCAAATTAGAGATAATCTGACTTTACCAGCCAGCTGGTAGTTGGTTCAGCTAGATAGTAAGTATTGCTTTTTTTTTTCGTTCTTTGTTTTTTGAGAAATAGACTCTTTTTGTAGTGGACAGCTAGGTGGCACAGGGGTAGAGCATCAGGCCAGGAAGACCTGGCGTCAAATTTAGCTTAAGATACTAGCTGTGTGATCCTGGCTAAGTCACTTAATCATGTTTGCCTCAATATTGTAATCTGTAAAATGAATGGGCAGCTGGGTAGTACAGTGGGTAGACTGCTGGGCCTGTTATTATGTACACATTCACATATACCCACATAAACCTATATAGTTTATTCACATAAATTATATATATATATACACATATAGATCTATATATGTTTATATATCTATATGCATGTCTATATATACATATCTATATGTGTATTTTTATATATATACATATGTAACAATAGGCTGAGGTACCTCTTTTAACCTTCTGGTGCCTCTGTGGATCATTTATGAAATAGGGAAAAATATCTTCACTGTTACCACAGAGATGTTGTAAGGATAATATGAATTAATGAGGGCAAAATCTGCTTCTTGGTTCTTAGCTTTTCACCATATTGAATTTGAAGCTGCACAAAGAGTTAGGTGGTAAACCACTCTAGTGTATTTGCCAAGAAAACCCATGTGGGGTCACAAAGAGTTGAATACAACTTTAAGCAACTGAACAACAAAAACAACAGATTTTTTGTGGTAGTTTTCCTATTTGTAAATTGCATTCATTAAAGTTGGATAAATCACAAATCTATAGTAAGCTAAAATATTTGCATAGTATCAACATTATTTATTTAAGTAATAGAGCGATATTGTATTATAGGAGAAAATCATCCTTTGAAAGAGGACACAATCTGCAGGTGAAAGGTAGATGACATTTCAGTTAATGAGCCTGGCCTCATATTCAGGAAGACCAGAGTTCAACTTTTGTCTCTTAACGCATACCCTGGACAAATTATATAACTTATCAGTTTTCCAAGGAACTTTCTAAGACTGTAAGTTGATGAGTGAGCTTTAAGAATGTAGATGTTAGTATAGGAAGTTTCCTAACTGAGAGTTCTCTCTCCAGTTAAAAAAAATCTTAGAATTTTTGTTGAGTTTATTAGTTTTCATTGAATTTTTAAGAATAATGGTCAAAAATTTCACTTGTTTAATAGCTAAGAATTTCAAGTATTAAAAAAGAATTTGAAGAGTAATTCTTAATCTTCGTCTTCATAGAAATTGAGTCAAAATGTAAAACTATCTTTTTCAAGGATTGTCATACGATATACTTAATGCTTAGGACATTCATTTGAATTTTGTTGTGAAAATTGTATAGATGGCTAAAGGAATCCAAATGGGAAATTACATGAGACTAGTATTGATTTCCAGGGTGTTATAGAAGATCTGGAAGCATCTGTTTTCTATCCCTAGAATTTGGGAATCATTTTGAAAACATGGTAGACTTTCAGTTAGCTCCAAAGTAGTATATAGAGATTTTTGTGGAAACCCCTAAGTGCTCCAGTTGTTCTTGGACCAAAATGTGACCAATAAAACGTACTTTACCTTGCTTTGAAGATATTTATAAAGTTTCTTTCGTGCATTATAAACCGAATAACAAATATTTTGGAGGAAATTTTGTCCTGTTCTAAAAGATGAGGTTATTGTAATACTTGTATGGTTTTGTCAATTTACTTAAAACGTTCCAAATGTGGTTTCTAGCGCCCTTGAGATGTTTTTATTGATTGGTCCATTGTAAGCTTTTCTCCTTTGATTTTTTTTTTTTTCCATGTGGATTAGGTTCAGCAATCAACAAATACTATTGATCCTTCAGTTTTTCCATTGGATTTAACTGATGAAAAGTCTAATGAAACAATTTCACTTGTGGATGATACTGCTGAGGATCACAAAGCTATTGAGTTAAACATGGAACTTCAACAAAAAGTTGCAAGCTTGGAGCTTAAACTTAAAGCTTCTGAAGAAGAAAAACAGAGAATTAGAAAGGTATGATGGCATTTGCTTTCAGAAGCTTTTGAAACTTGATTAAAGGAGCCCTACCATGATTAAAAACTTATCAGAGGAAACTAACACTGTATTGCATGAACATGTTTTTACTCATTGAAATGAATCTAGTGCCAAGGAAAAACTTTGATAAGTAATTTGCAGTGTGAGAAAAGCTCGTTTAGAAAGTATGCATAGTAAGTTTTATTAATTTTTTGCTTGAATTCTTAGCTTAGGACTTCATTTGTAATATATGTAACTATCTATAATTTAATATGTGTGTACGTGCAAACACATACATAGAAGCATATGTGTATGTGTGCGTGCATGTATATGTAATTATATGTTTATATAACTATTTGTAGTTACATGTTATTATGTACACATTCACATATACCCACATAAACCCATGTAGTTTATTCACATAAATTATAAATATACATATAGATCTATATGTGTTTATATATCTATATGCATGTTTATATGTACATATCTATATGTGTGTTTATATATACACACACATACACAAACATATACATGTACATATTGATATATGGTATGTAGAAATGTTTAAGGAAAAAGAGTTGTAAGGGCTGCTGAGCAGGGACTGCTTTCTACCTTTGGTGTCCACCTGATTCACACTCAACTCTCACCTGTGGCTCTAAGAAGCTGTAGCATGGTCAGTGGCCACACCCCAGCAAAATAAATCTAGTCAAAAAGTTTGCATGCCTTCCAAAGTGAGTGAATGACAGACACATGACAATGTGATTGCCCCTTTCAGGAAAATGACACACCACCATCATCAGTGCATATGCTCCCACCATGATGAACCCTGATGAGGTCAAAGAAAAATTTTATGAAGACCTGGAGATCCTCATCATCAGTGTTCCAAAAGAGGATAGGCTTGTAATTCTAGGTGACTTTGACACCAGAGTAGACATAGACCATCCGAGATGGCAGAGAGTGCTTGGGAGGAATGGAGTTGGAAACAGTAACAGCAATGGTCACTTACTATCAAAGACTTATGTATCTCATGACCTTTTCATCACCAACATTGTCTTCTGTTTACTTAAATGCAATAAAACTTTGTGGATGCACACTTGCAGCAAACATTGGCATTTAATAGATTTTATCATTGTAAGGAGAATAGATGAAGATGATGTGTGGCACAGAGTGCTGGACTGATCTTAGACTTATCCTCCCCAAGCTAAATATTCCATTCAACAAAAGCAGCAGGCCCAAGGCAAGATGACTACTAGAAGACTTAATATCAACAGACTAGAGCACTTCTTTAAGCTCAAACAAGATTGGTTTGGTGAAAATGATGGTGAAATTCAGGAGTTACTAAAGAAAAAAATTAGAACTCCACAGAGTTTACTGGCAGGATAGTTCATCTGTCTCTAAAAAGTAGAGTACTATCAAAAGTAAAGAGCAAGCAAAGCTTAGAGAGAGATGCAGGATTCTTGGCTCAGTAAGAAGGCAGATGAAAGGCAGTTTTACACCAACAGTAACAATCCAAAATGTTTTTATGATGTCGTGAAGGCTATTTATGGGCCAAAGATCTATTGTACATCTCAGTTATTCAGGGTTGTTGGAGCCACCTTGATTAACAATAAGGACACGATCCTGGAGAATTGGGCTGAACATTTCCATAGTGTTCTCAAAGACCATCATCAACCAATACAGAAGCCATTGAGCATATACCCCAGGTTGAAGTCAATCTCTCTCCAGACAAACTTGCAGTTGAAGAAGAGGTTTTGAAGGCCATTAGGCAAAGTGCCTGGTGCTTTTTTTTTCCATTCTAGCAGAGATTTACAGTGTATGGGGTACACTGCTCATTCAAAAACTGACTGAAATCTTCCAAGTTATATAGCAAGAAGACATCATCCCCCAAGAGTTCAAAGATGCCTCCACTGTCCATCTTTGTAAAGGAATGGGAAGTAGCTCATTCTGTGAGGGTCACAGGGGAATCTTTTTCCCTTAGTCATTGCTGGCAAGATTCTTGCCAGAGTTGTCCTTAATTGGCTGATCCTTCACCTGGAAGATGGTCATCTTCCCCAGAGCCAGTGTGGCTTCAGAAAGGGCCAAGGAACTGGCAATATGATGTTTGTTGCCTGACAACTCCAGGAGAAATGCAGAAACAGAAGAGAGGATTGTACATAATGTTCATTGATTTGACCAAGGCCTTTGATATACTGTTAGTTAGGACTTATGGAAAATCCTAGCAAAATTTGATTGCCCACAGAGGTTCATCAGTGTTGTACATCAGTTTCATGACAGCATGCTGGCATGGGTTCTAGATAATGGACAATGCTTTTGCACTTTCCCAGTCACTGGTCAGTTTACACAAGCAGGGCTTTGTGCTTACTTCTGTGCTTTTTATTTAATATGATATTTTCATTGATGTTGTTGGACTTCTTCAAGGAGGATGAAAACGGCATCAAAGTCTACTGCACTGATGGTAAATTACTTAACTTTAAAAGGCTACATGCCAAAACTAAAGTGGAGGGAGAGTTGATGAATGACTTTTTGTTCACAGATTGTTGTGTACTCAATACAGCCTCTATGACTGAGATACAACATATGGATTGATTCTCTGCTGCTTGTGCTAGTTTTGGCCTAAAAGCTAATACCAGGAAAGCAGAGGCTCTTCAACTGGCCAGTACCACACTATCCATACATGGTGCCATCAGTTATAGCAAATGGAGAAATTTTGAATGCTGTAGATAAATTTGTTTACCTTGTTAATATACTTTCCAGGGATATTTACATAGATAATGTAGTTGATGCACACATTGCCAGAACTTGTTCAGTTTGGGAGGCTCCAATGAAAAGTGTGAGACAAAGGAGATATTAGGCTCTACAGAGCCACTGTGCTGACTTCATTGTAGTATGCCTGTGAAACCTAGACAGTGTACCAGTGCCATGCCAGGAAACTGAATTGCTTCTATTTGAATTGTCTTTGGAAGATTCTGACTATCACCTGGCAAGATAAGATACCCAAAACTGAGGTCCTTTCTGGAGCTGAATTGCTAAACATCCAAACTCTACTGCTGAAAGTGCAAATCCAATGAGTTGGCCACGTTGTTCAAATGCCAAACATGTGTTTGCCTAAAATAATATTCTATAGAGAGCTCACACGGAAGTCAGAAGAAGTGATACAAGGACACTCTCAAGGTCTCCCTGAAGAACTTTGAAGTTGATTGTGAGACATGGGAGACATTGACACAGGACTGCCTTGCATGGCATACTTACATCAAAGAAGGTGCTGTGCTCTATGATCCAGGCAGAATTGCAGTAGCTCAAAGGAAACCTGAGATGCACAAATTTAGAGATATCTCCTCTCCAAATGTTCATATGAACTATTTGTGCCCAGCCTGTGGTAGAACCTTCTGAGTTCTTATTGGTCTAATCAGCCACAGTTGGACATATTTTACCTTAACCCCAACATAGTGATGTCATTTTTGTTGTCTTTGAGAACAAAGGACAACAACCATGTATGTATAAACTATTAAAGCTTAAAGCTGCTTAAAGGTTTTTGGGACATCCTGTGTGTTGTATATAGATGTTGCTTTTTCATGGAAAATGCAGCACTAGGCTGTTAAGTATCTTGGGGATAATGTGAAAGTGTTAGAATCTCATGAGTCTGTGTCTTAGTTCATCAGCCTCTTTTGTAATAGAGACTCTACTTAACTAAATTTGTTTAGTAAAAAAGAACTGGATAAATTTATAGCAAGGGTGTAGAAACCTATTTTTTCTCTTCTCTACACAGAGAGAATATATGAAGCTGTCAGATATTAACTGAAATGCCCTTCTGTAGTTTTATCAGAGCAATTTTCTGTATGTTAATACATTTGTTTTATTTCAGAATTGCAAATATTCTGAAATATTTTAAAAATTAAAGAGGATGATCATTTGTGCTATATGTCTTCCCATAAAGCACCATGACATACAAAATCTTGCAATTAAAACCACAGAACTTATGGAGAAAATGGGGTTTGGGGAATAATGTCAGTGAAACATAAAAAGAGATAGGAACCTCGTAAAAATGGTAGCATGGTTTTGATTAGATTGTGGGCTTCTTGAGGAAAGGGATTGCCTTTTGTATTCCTCATGTTTAGCATAGTGCCTGACACATAATAGGCATTTAATAAGTATTTGTTGAACAGTAATCCAGGGCAGTTCTAAAGGACTCATGATGAAAAATGCTACCCACATTTAGAGAGAGAACTGATGGATATGAGTGCAGATTGAAGCGTTTTTTTTCACTATTTTTCTTTATATTTTTTCTAATATGGCTATTAGGGAAATATGTTTTGTGTACCTTAACAAGTATAATGGATATCATGTTCCTTCACTACTCAGAGGGTGAGGGAGGAATTGGGAGGAGGGAGAGAATTTGTAACTCAAAATTTAAAAAAAATGAATGTTAAAAAATAAACATAAAAAAGAAAAAGAACAATGCTGAAGATGGAAAAATTGTATCGCTTATCTGGTAAAACATATTAAATAATTAAGAAGTACATCAGTACTACAATAAATAGTAGCCATTGCCCAGGGCCTCATGTTCAGGCATGTTACAATGTCCTCATGTGCCTTTGAATATAAAGACCTTTGTAAATGGAAATTTTGATTACATGTATAAAATCTAGGGTAATGAATCTTATTCAATTAACCTATGTATAAGATTCTACAATTCTTGGCCAAAAAAAAAAATATCTTAGAGTGAATTTTGACAGTCTCCGCTGTAAAATCTGGTACTCTTTGCTTTTTTCCTTTTAGGATTTAGAAACATTGGTGGAAAAGCATAGAGTCCTAGAAAAAGATTTCCTAAAAGATAAAGAAGATGAAGCAGTTTTTCTCCAGGATAAATACAAAATGCTTCAGGTAAACTCACTTTTTAATATTTAAAATATAATAATTTTAATGAAATGATTTGAGGTGTCAATTTAAAAGGTGCTCAGTAAATATTGAGAGTGAATATTTAATTAAAATGGATTAAACATTAACTAGGATTTCCATCAATACATATCTATAAATTGTTAAAATGGCAATTTAAGAAGTTGAATGTAGCATGAACTCTTGATGTCCATTAGACTCTGAGAGACTAAGACTTTGTTGAACCAAAGATGCAAGGAATTTGCTAAAAAAGATCCTATTCTGATTTAGGTATATAAGGGTACTCAAGCTGATTGATCCATTCAGTAGTCATTCAACAAGCATTTATTAAATTTAATAAATATTTATTAAATATGATATTGATTTTTATAAGCCCTGATGATACAAAACCAAAAATAAATAGTCTTTGTTTTCAAATAATTTAAATTTTTTTCACTGGGAAATACTACATATATATAAAATTAAAGAAAATAATAAAATATTTATACAAAGCAATTTTTTTTTTTTTAGGCAATTGGGGTTAAGTGACGTTTCCCAGGGTCACACAGCTAGTAAGTGTGAAGTGTTTGGTCTGAGGCCGGATTTGAACTCAGGTACTCCTGACTTCAGGGCCGGTGCTCTATCACACTGTGCCACCTAGCTACCAACCACCACAAGTATCCTATTCTGATTTACCATTCCCCATCACCCACAGTTTCTAGTGTTCTTTTACCAAAATTGCTTTGTATAGGGGCAGCTAGGTGGCATAGTGAGTAGAATGCTAAGCACTGACTGGTTTTGTTTCCTTGGGCAAATAAGTCACTTAACCTCTCAGCCTTAGTTTCCTCCATGTGTCAGATAGAGATAACACCACTTACTTCATAAGGTTGTTGTGAGATTCAAATGAGATGAAGCCCTTTGTGAACCTTAAAGTACTCTGTAAATATTAACTATTATTATTGACATTTGAGTTGGGCTTTGGAGGAAACTAGGTATTCCATATGGTGGACATAAGGAAAAGAATATATTTCAGGCCTTTGCAAGGGCACAAAAATGGCGCATAATCTTCCTTCTCTCCCTATTTTCTTCTCTGCAACCTACAAACATTTCTAGGTCTATGTATATTAGATGTCTCCTCTTTCTATCCTTCCACTCACTGTCTTCTAAACCCTTTATCATTTGGTTTCTACCTGCGCAAAGTCACCAATGTTCTCTTAATTTCCACATCTAATGGTCTTTTTCTCAAAACTCCTGACCTATAGGGTCATACATTACCAACTGCCTTTTGTACATTTTGAACTACACAAAACAACTTGTTATCTTTCCCACTAAATCGTTCCTTTTTCTGAACTTCCCTATTATGATAGAGGACACTATTATCCTCCCAGTTGTCCAGGCCTGCAATCTCAGTGTCATCTTGAACTCCTCACTCTCTCTTATTGCACATATTTAGTCTGTTGCCAAATCTTGCCATTTCTGTCTTCACAGCATCTCTCATGTATATCTCCTTCTCTTTAGTGATATACCCATTACCCTCGTTCAGGATCTCAAACTGGTCTCCTTCCTCCACCTCTCCTCACTCCAAAGCATTCTCCATTCAGCTGCAAATATGCTGTTCCCAAAGGTCTGACCATGCCATCCCCTCTTGTTCAGTGATCTCTAGGAGCTTCCTGTTTCCAGCAGGATAAAAGATAAACTCCTCTGGCATTTATAGCTCTTCATAAAAACCTACCCACCTTTCTGTTCTTATACTTTTCTCCTTATTATGATAAAACTACACTGGCTCACTTGCAATTCCTTTAACATAACATTCTGTCTCTTATATTTATGTCTTTGCCCTGGCTGTTTCTCATACCTGGACTATTTTGCCCCCTCACTTCTGTCTCTTTCCTTGTCTTCCTTCAAGACTCAGCTCAAATCTTATCTTTGGTAGGAGATATCTTTTTATTTCCCCAGCTGCTAGTACCTTCCTCTTTCATATTACTTTCCATCTATTCTGTATATATCTTGTATGTATCTAGTTATTTACTTGTTGTTTACACCATTAAAGTGTGAACTCTTTGAGGTCAAGGACAGTTTTTGTCTTTATTTGTATGCCCAGTTCTTAGTACGTTGTCTGGCATATATAAAGCAAAAAATCTTGTTGACTGAGTGAGCAACAGCAGCCATGCCCATTCCCTAAGTTTGACCTCCCTCCTCTCCATTATCATGGAGATCCAGGCTTCAAGCTTAGACTTGCCTGGGCTATGACAAACAGACTGTTTGAATTTTGAACAGACTGTGTCATCAGCATTCTAAATTGCAAAGACTCACTACAGGAGAGCAGAAAAAAAGAGGGAAAGGGTAGAACACAATTCTGGGCTTGAAATAGAGCACCTCTGTCCCCCTTAGCTTTGAAAAACCAAAATACAGAAATGTGACCCATAGCAGCAGTGTGGCAGCCCTCTGAACTGTCACTTTTGGGCCAAAATACTGAGCTGCAGAGGGAATGTTTTGTGTGGGGGTCAAGCTGTGTGACACTCTAGTAAGCCTGAGGGAAAGAGCTCAGCATCCAGCTGAGCCTAGTTCTTTTCCCCTAAAAGTAATTTGAGGCAGAAATCTAAGTTGGTGAACTGTGAATTGCCCAGCATCGGAGGTGTCTGAGATACTTTGAGATCCAGTCCCTTGGGAAACCACCATCAAAGAGGAAGGAATCAGAAAGTGAACAATAGAGGAAAATAAAGAAAAAAAAGATTGAAATTACCAAAGGTCTCAGGAAGAAGAAAACTCAAATACATAAGCAGATAAAACAATAGGGAAAATATTAATAACAGAATAAAATTTGGCTTTCAAATCTAGTGAGTGTAGGTATCTATGAATAAATACTGGAAAACAAAGGAAAACAATTCAACAATTGATGAGACAGAGGATCTTGTGGAATTTGAGAATATGGAGCTAACAACAATATTCTATTCCTGAGTGGTTCAGAAGAGAAATGAGAATTATGAGAATAGAATTAATGGGCTATACAGCAAAAATAATAGCCAGAATAGAAAAAGTTGAATCTCTGATGGCAAGTCTCACCAAAGAAATAAAAGAAAGAACAATGGATTGGGAATGTAAACAGAAGGAAAATCTGGAAGAAAATAAATTTAAAAAAAATTAAAAGAAAATATGCTTGTATTACAAAACAAACTAATATCAAAGACAAGATATGTAGAGACAGTCTAAGGATTATAGACCAATAAGCCAAGAAACCTCAACACCATAATACAAGAAATAATACAAGGGAACTCCTCAGAACTTCTGAAAACAGAAAATGAAATACCAATTGAAAGAATTAATAGATTGCGAACAGAAAAAAACGTCAAAACTGAAAACAAAAAAAAATTATTTAAATTTAATAATTCAATTCAGAAGCAACAAGTTCTAGAAATAATCAGATACAATGAAAGAAACAAATATCACAAGACTATTCTGCACTCACCAGAAAATGTGGGAGGAATGGAATAATGTGTTCCAAATGGAGCTAAAGCTTCAGTCCAGGACGATCTACACTGCATATATGAGCTTGCCTATAAATGAAAAAAGATGAATATTCAATAATAAATAAGCATTTGGAACGTTCATAGAAATAAAATCAGCCCTGGTTCAATATAAGGAAAACTATCAGCATAATTTATCATATCAACACCAAAGCTAATAGAAACCACATGATCATCTCAATAGATGCAGAAAAAGCTTTTGACAAAATACAACACCCATTCCTATTAAAAACACTAGAGAGCATAGGTATAAATGGAGTCTTCCTTAAAATAATAAATAGCATCTATCTCTAACCTTCAGCAAGCATAATATATAATGGGGAAAAGCTAGAAGGATTTCGAATAAGATCAGGGGTGAAATAAGGATGTCCATTATCACCACTGTTATTCAACTTCATAGTGAAAATATTAGCTTTAGCAGTAAGAGAAGAAAAAGACTTTGAAGGCATTAGAATAAGCAAAGAAGAAACAAAGCTATCACTCTTTGCAGATGATATGATGTTTTACTTAGAGAATCCCAGAGAATCAAGTAAAAAACTACTTGAAATAATAAACAACTTTAGCAAAGTTGCAGGCTATAAAATAAACCCACATAAATCATCAGCATTTCTATATATTACCAACAAAGCCCAACAGGAAGAGATAGAAAGAGAAATTCCATTTAAACTTACTGTAGACATTACAAAATATTTAGGAGTCTACATCCCGAAACAAACCCAGGAACTCTATGAACACAATTACAAAACACTTTTCACACAAATAAAGTCAGATCTAAATAATTGGAAAACATCAGTTGCTCATGGGTAGGCCGAGTTAATATGATAAAAATGACAATTCTACCTAAGTTAATTTACTTATTCAGTGCCATACCAATCAAACTACCAAAAAGTTATTTTAGAGAGTTAGAAAAAATAATAACAAGATTCATTTGGAAGAAGAAAAGGTCCAGAATATCAGGAGAACTAATGAAAAGAAATGCTGGGGAAGGTGGCCTAGCCATTCCAGATCTTAAATTGTATTATAAAGCAGCAAATCATCAAAACTGGTTGGTACTGGCTAAGAAATAGAGTGGTGGATCAATGGAATAGGT